GCCTTCTGTGGGACTTTAAACTTCAGTTTCCATAGCTGCAAAAAGTGAATAATGACGCCTTTCTTGCTTATCTCATAGGGCTTTATGAGGCTCACCAGCAACACCAGTGAACGTGTCCTGTAAACCGTAAAGCAGTGTTTGAATGTTATTATGTGTTACTACTGCTACTATTGCCAGAACTCTGAAATCCTAAATGGTTTGATCAAAAGGCTAGAGTTATGGGGCCGGCCTTGTGGCCTAGTGGTTAAGTTTGGCACACTCCACTTCAGTGGCCTGGGTTTGGTTCCCAGGTGTGGACCTGCACTACTCATCGGTGGCCATGCTGTGGCAGCCACCCACATACAAAATAGAGGAAGATTGGCACAGATGTTAGCTCGGGGCAAATCTTCCTCAGGAAAAAAAAAGAAAGGCTAGAGTTAGATCCAAGGTACCAAAGTGTCAAAGGCTGGCTCTGGGCTTGTAGATGTTCTCTGCAATTCCTGGGCCCTGCCCCCTCTTCCTCCACCTCTCCTCCAGGTAGAATGAGGGGTTAAAAAGCTTTTGAGGACTATCGATCCTATTGGGAAAATAACCAAGGAGTGCATATACTAGAATCAACTCAGTTTCATTTCTTGTTAAGGATGAGAAAAACATGAAAATGTGTTCTTTTTAAGATAACTATAGCAAACATTTACTGAGTACCTACTGTGTATTAGGCATGTTCCTGTGTTATCATTAACCCTCAAGATAACCCGTGAGAGAAGGGCACAGATTCGTAAAGAAATACATATTTGGAGGGAAAGAGATGGGATTTGGTGGAATGATATAGCCACTCCTTATCTCTTAGATGCCTCCTACTAAATTGTGCTGCATTTTCTCTACCTCAGGCAGAAATGGAGATACACTGTGTTGGTTCTTGCATAAGCTGAGGCCAGATGGATCCTGCAGGTCCAATAACTCTACCCCCTAGGTTACCAGGCCAGAGAGACTGCACAGGGCTGGGCCGAAGCTCAATAGCTCACGAAGGACTTCTTTGTCCCTTCATCAGGGAGCAGCACCCAGTAGCCCAGGAAGCGATCAGGCCAGAGTGTGGTGTGACAGGAAACCTGAGCTCTAGTCCTGGCTTCTGGAACTGCAGGGACAGGCTTCCAAGCCTGTGGCCCATCCTGCATCTGCTGCCTCTGTGCCCGTGTGCTAAAGGGTGTGTGTGTGGTTCTGGAATGGCACATGAGGTGGTGGAAGGAGCCCTGGACTGGGAGTCAGGAGACATGAGTGGAGCACACCTTAGCCAGTCTTCATGACCTTAGGGCAAAACACTTCACTTCTGTGCTTCAACTTCCTCATCTGTAAAATGGGAGAGGGGACTGGACTCAATACTCTCCATGCTAACATTCTGATTCTGACGGTCAAGGGCTCTTCAGAAAACCAGGCGAAGGGGTTTGCTTAAGGTCATAAAGAAAATGGCCAGGGGCACCTGACCTCACCCACTGTCCTCCCTCCAAACTCCTGTAGGGGCTCCCACTCACCCAACCCAACCAGAAGCCAGAGGGCGAGGGAGCCTGTGGAAGTTGCCCACACTGACCAGATGGTGTGGGTGGGCTGGGTGATGGTCAAGGAGGCCCAGGCCTCAGGAGCTCATGCCCCTTTCCTGCCGTCCTGGAATACTGCCAGGGCAGTGACCTGCCCAGCCTCTCCCCCTCTCACGGGATGGGCCCTCAGCCCCTCCTCTGCTGCTGAGGGAACAAGTCAGGGACCACCGCCTGCTCTCCTGGAGGTGGCCCACCCGGGGGGACGCAGGGTAGGCTGCACTGCATGGAGAGGTTTTTGCTCCCTTTTCCTGATACTTCGCAGGAAAGTCTTTCTTCCCCCATTTCACCTTTCCCTTCCAGGGTCCCCTTCTGGTACTTTCCCTAATCCTACTCTGAGGGGCTGTGCCCTGTTTCTCAGGGATATTTGCATTCTGACAGAAAGCTCCTCAAGATCAAAAAGGCTTTATTCAAGACCCCAGGAAATGGAGCTATGCTGGGCACATGCATGACAGGCAGGGCCAGGTGGAAAGGGCGAGGGACCAGTGAGCCTAGTCCCTCTTGAGACCTCAGGCCCCCATGGAGGCCTTTACCCTGCACTGACTCCCAGGAAGCTCAATGTCAGGCCACACAGCCTGGAAGTTCCAAAGGTGGTGGAACCTGCTCACCTGTGAAGGCTCCAAGATAAAAGTCACATCCCTAAAAATGCTGGCCGGGCAGCAGCACCCAAGGATGGCCCAGTTGGGATGATGAGCATCATCTTTGTCCCAGGAAACACAGAGCTGGCTTCAGGCCAGGGCACAGCGGGCAGCTCAGGCTCCTGGTACCTCAACAAGCATCCACGGAGCACCAGCCTCATTTGTGTGTGAAGGGGCAGGAGGCGCGAGTACCTGGGAGGATGGCCTCCTCTGCTGCAGGGGAGATGTCAGTGCTGCTGGGAGGGGACCCCTGAGCAAAAGACCCCTGGTTATTCCCAGATGCCCAAACTCCCTTCAGAAAAGAAACAAGCCTTTTACCTGTAATCAGATCAGGATTAAACACCTTTCTGGAAAGAGCACGGGATGCGGAGTTAGGACCTGGCTGCTTCTGACCCCAGCTTCCCTGTGTCCTGGCCAGGAAGCCCGTTAACTATTCGGGGCTCCTCAATTCCACAAGTTCAGTCCGTACGTGACTGTCCACTAACGCCTTTCTCTGGAGCCCTCACCCTGAGAAAAGGCCCCAGTCCAGCTGGAAAGCCCCCTCTGGGATGGCCTCAGGGCCTCCCTCCCCTTCCGGGCTCCTCTCCTCTCAGATGCAGGCCTGGACCCTGCTTAGTAAAGAGTGAAGGAGGCCCCCCAGGGAAGCCAGAGGAGCAGGGGCCTTTAAATTATGGAGCAGCTTTCTTAACCCCTCTCAGAAAGGCCCAGGCGCCCCAACTAAATAATTCACCACCTCAGGAAGACCCAGTGGTTCCTGACACAGCTGAAGTAGGTCAGGCATCGGCTTGGGCCTGGGTAGGGGCGGTGGGGCTAGAGCAGCTTCCCCACCTGCACTAGGAGGGGCTGCCGGCTGGGAACGCCTTGTTTGCTTCGCTAGTGCCTTGCTGGTCCAATACTGCAGTGAGGTAAGGGGTACAAGGCAGTAAAGCATCAGTTGCCCACCCCCTCTTGCTGCCATGAACACAGCCACCAACTCCCCTCCTCCGAGCCTCCCTCTGGGGTTCAGGAGCCCACCTGCCTGCCACCCAGAGTTACCTACGGGGCCTGTACCTGGCCAGACTCCTCCTCCCTCACAGCACCTGGAGGTGCCGTGTCCTCTCTTCACACGCAGGTACGAGCTGGGCCTCACGTGTCATCCCTGAGCCTTTAACAGCTGACACACTCATCAGCACAACACCTTAGACCGAAGTGGCCCGGTGCAGGCCTGGGATTCAGGAGAAGGGGTGAGGCAGGGAGTGGAGAAGGACACAGGGTCACCAACGTGCAGGTGACGAAGTGACCAGGGCCAGCCCCAGTGGGAAGGAGGCTCTGGGGCCTGTCCTGCCCTTCCTCTCTAGGCACAGCAGTCAAGCTGTGAAGGGCATGAGGGGAGGGTGAGCAGATGGAAAAGACAAACAGCAAAGCCATGGGGTCAGTGCTCCACCTCTCCAGAAGGAGCTGGAAAGGATTTCAAACCACCACTTCACCGACGAAGAAACTGAGGCCCGGATCATAAGAGGGAAGAACGAGGGCAGGCTGTGGCGTCTTGACTGGGTCCAGTGCAGCCCAGGGTCTTGGCCCCACACCGTTCCAACCTTCACACCCGTTTGCTCAGGCTCCCAGCAAAACCTCTCAGGAATCAGAGCTGCTGCGGGCACCTCCAGGGTCGGAGAGCTTAACCCTTTCTGGGCCAGACTCCTGGGTCCTCACCTTCCCTCCAGCAGAGCCTCACAAGACATACACCATGGACGCCACACAGAGGAGCCCAACCTCCCACACCACAGTCCTTTGCTACTGGAGGGCCTGGAAGGCCACAGGCCACAAAGGTTAGGCCAACCACCTAACAGCACTGGAGAAAACGAAGGTCCCATTAGGGTGCTTCCTCTGGGTTCAGGGAATCTCCGCCCCTATCCTCAGAACTCGAAAAATGAAGAGGTGAATGAATTATACACAGGGAGGGCTGACAGATGGGGCCTCCGCTGTATGGCCCTTGGCAAGTCACTTCCCCTCCAGACTTCAGTGACACAAAAGAGGGAAGGGGGGAGAGGCTGCCTGAGCTCTAAGGCCTGGCGCCCATCTCACTTCCTTCCCCTCCTAACTCCCAACATCTGTACTCTGGTCGTGCCCTCCCAACGGCATCAACATCCCGTGGAAGCAGAGGTCAGAGAGCAGTGACTTTGGATGACTTTTTATTTTGCATTTCATATATTATCCAGTTTCACATTCTCACAGGATCAGCAATTACAACAGCCACCTCGTCTCCCAAGTCTGAACACGGCAAGACAGCCGCAGCTGCGGCGGAAGGCAACGCACTGATGTGCTCATGAAACAAAAAATTGCACAATTTTTCCTTCATTTTTCTTAAACTAACGCCTGACACAAAGGCTCATTGCTGGAGAATGGAAACCCTTTTCTTCTTCATGCCTCAAACTAAACATTAAACTTATCTGACAGGGCGAACAAGGTCTCTTTAATAATTAATTGCACACACACGAAAAATCCTTTATGATGCATAAATATTTTGTTACACAGGGTACAAAAATACTTTCACTTTTTGGTTGATTTCGAAGTTTGGAAAGAATGAGGAGCAAGGGAGGGGTGGGGTGCACTGTGGAGAGGTGAGCAGAACGGCAGGGAAAGGATTTTTTTAGTTGTTGGCCCATCTGAGGAGGAGGAAGCGGAGGACCCTGATTTGGAATGAAAAAGAAAACACTATCTTGGTTGGTGGTCGTTGCTATTCAGCCTGGACACGTGTGTGGGTGGTGGGGGGCGCCGGGCGGACTGGCTGCAGGGCTCGGTCTTCACTGAAGCAGTGAGTGGAGGGGAGGGGTGTGGAGAGAGGGACCAGGAGTGATGAACCCTTAGTGGCCAGGACCTGTTGCTATGGTGACACAATGTGAGAACAAACTGTACACTCACATATACACAGTTTAAGTGTCTTAATTCATGCCAGAAAACATGCAAAATTAAATGCCTCGTCTCTCTGAGGTGGAGCTACTGAACCAAGTTTGGACTGAGGTCAGGCCTTGCTCAGTCCCAGTGAGGCCTCCGAGCCGGGTCTGGGGGTTCCAGCAAGAAGGCCCCCGAATCCTCCTGTGAGGCCTTGGAGTGGGGCTTTGGGGCAGGACAGGGATGAGGAAGAGGAGAGAAAGGAAAACAGGAAGCAGTCCACTGAGTCAGGCTTAAAATTCACAGTCTTTGGAGGGAAGCAGCCGCTCTCCACAGGCCGCCTGGGGGCAGTGGAAGCTCAGGGCGGCTTCCTCCCCAGCAGGGCAGGGGCTTCAAACTGCGGTGACAAGACCTGGAGGGAGGGGAGAGAGGTGGCCATGAGCAGAGGCGTGGGACTGGAGCTGAACCCAGGCCTTCCCCTGGTGAGGAGGCTGCAGACGGATGGCAGGGGTGACAGGGTGGGAGGAGAAGAGGAGAAACAGCCAGAATGCCCCAGCGCAGAAGCTCAGGCGGAGGTCTAGCACCAGCGAGCCTTCGGACTCAGGCAGAGGAGCCAAGGCCCTGCACGAAGCCAGGGTCTAAGACACTTTTCCTCCTGGACCTCTGGGCCAGCACTTACTGAAGAACTAACAGAATTGACGATATTTCCATCCTTGCTGGGTGGTATCAGAGGAAGGGTACCAGCGCACCTGCAAGAGAAGCCAAGGTCAGGAGCAGGCTGTGCAGGCCCTTCTCTGACAGGGGAGCTGGGTAAACACGGCCTGCAGTGTCCCTGTTGGAGTCCTGGTTGTGTCACTGACTGGCGGAGGTCGGGCCAGTTACTCACCTCTAGGCATCAGTTTCTTCATCCTGAAAATGGGAGAGCACCACGTGACCCGCCTCCTCAGCAGAGTCGAGGTTCAAATGAGACAACGGTTACGAAGGTGTTTCACACTCCACTAAGCCCAATTCGAATGTGACAAGTAGTGCCAGTGGAGTCTTGGGAGCCAGGGGCACTGGTGCCAACAATCTGCCCTTCCCCCTTTACTGGGAGAGTGCAGAATTCCTAACGTTAGGAGAAGGAACCTAATACATTTTGGTTTGGCTTCTCTGAGTCTCAGTGTCCTCACCCAGCTATGAGAGAGATGATTAAGTCACGGGTGGTCATGAGGATCAGCTAAGACAGAATGGAAAACACATTAGAACCCAAGGTGAGTGTGGTCTCCCAGGGGCAGGACTCCCAGACATGGCTTTTTCCAAATCAGGAAGGCATGGATGAGACCCCGCTGACACTTCCTCCGGTTACAACCGCTCCGTCCCTTCTTGTTCCCTCCATTACAAGCCTCCTAAGTCTAGAGATTTGTAACCTCCCAGCTGAGCCCTCTGGTGGGGGCCTGGCAGCTACCTAAACTCTGGCATTTGCCAGAAGGCCCCACAGAGCAAGCAGTAGCCCCAAAGCAGGATTCCCAGAGACAGGTCAGGAAACGACATGCGCCCTCTTCCACATGGGCCGGTCATCTGGAGGGAGAGCTGTGCTGGGTGCCAAGCCAAGATTGCAAGGAGGCCGCCTGCCCCAGTTATAGACAGCATGTCTGCCCCAGCCTGACCCATGGCTGCCTGGGAGGGGGGGCAGGGCATCACAAGACTCCGAGTGAGATGGGGGAAGAACACCCAGAGAGGGGAGCCCGGGGTCCCCTTAGGAAAGGAAGGGAAGGCACACGAGAGCCGATGTAGAAAATGAGGACGGTTGGGCACACAGACAACTCCCGTGAAGCTGCAGCAGTCAGACCTAGTTACCTACTTGGCTGCCTGGAATCCCTGCCTCTGTAGGCAGAAAAGGTATCAGGCAATGCCAGGCCATCTGGGGGCTGATGGAAGCTTCCTGAGAACTTGCTCCTGTGCCCCCTCCAAATTCTAGGTGCTGTTTTGTATAGTGCAGGACTCTGACCACCACATGCTCAGCAGAAGTCAGGGGCTGGTTACCCCAAGATGCCAGGACACTTGGCATATGGTAGGACCAGGTCCTAGGCCATCCAACCAACGCCAGGATCATCCCTGGGCTCCAAGGATGTGGCTGGCACTGCTGTCACCAGAACACAGCTGGCCCTGGGCTGCTGGAAACACCTTGATTATGCCCCACAGCACACAGAAAAGGTCAAGAGCCTCTTTTTTTATTTTTTGTGAGGAAGAGTGGCCCTGAGCTAACGTCTGTGCCAATCTTCCTCTATTTTGTATGTGGGACACTGCCACAGCATGGCTTGATAAGCAGTGTGTAGGTCTGTGCCTGGGATCCAAACCTGTGAACCTCGGGCCACCAAAGCAGAGCACACGAACTTAACCACTATGCCACCGGGCCAGCCCCCAGGAGCTTCTTTTTGCCTTTGAGCTATCCAGGCTTAGAGGCTGCTGTATCTTCCCTCCAGCCTCCTAAACATCTGGAAGCAGTTCCTTCCTTTCCTGGCTGACAGCTGAGTGGGAGGAAGCCTCTCCTCCCCTTTGCTGAGCTGTGGGATGCCCTCTCAGCTGGAAGCCCGGCTGGACACTAGAGCCCATTCCACAAGAGAAGGACAACAAGGAAACCAGCACCATTGCTACCAGACAAGCCTGTGGCTCATCCAGCTCAGGGAATCCCCAGTGGGCCGTGACCACTACCCTCCACCCAGCCTCCAGCTGGAGCAGCCCTGTAACAGGAAGCGTGTTGGGGGGGGGCCTGGGTGCCCTGCAGGGCTGGACAAGGGGAGGGGAGAACATCGGACGAGAGTGGGAGGGACTCCCGAGGCGTCCAGTGGCTGCTTAAGGGCTCCCTCAGCGAGCCCGCCTCATCCGGTCCCACACTTTCCACTAGGTGCTAGGCCTTGGCCTCCAAAGCAGCAGCTTTCCCTCCAGCCTGAGACGAGCCACTGCCTCCTGGGGGAGGAAATAGAGGAAAAATCCCATTTCTGAACTCAGGATGGCCATGCCACCAAAGCAGAGACAACGTACTCCTGTGTTTCCACTCCCTCAGATGCCTGGTACCAGCCGGCAGTCTGGGTCCTCTAAAGAAGCACGGTCCCTTCCTGCCCCAGCTCAGAACAAGAGACCCCCGGGTCCAGGGGTCAGGGCCAGCACTTCAGGGAGCGAGCAGTCGGTTCCTTCTCAGGGCCTCCAAGTGTTAACAGGGAGTTTGAGGGTCCTGAGAAGCCACTCCACAGGAACAGGCCTCTGAGCATCTAGAATGACCAGGCTCCAAAAGGGGCAGTATCAAAACAAAGGGGGGCATGAATTCAGTCCCCTCTTAGATCTTGGGACTGACTAATGGAGAAGATGTGCCAAGAAAGGGGCATAGGAATGAGTTTGCACAAGAAGAAATGTGAATAGCCAACAAACACGGGCACCTCACTCATCAGAAAGTCAATTAAGGGGCAGGTCCTGTGGCATAGCAGTGAAGTTTGGTGCGCTCCGCTTCGGTGGCCCGGGTTTGTGGGTTCAGATCCCAGGCGCCAACTTACACCACTCATCAGCCATGCTGTGGCGGCAACCCACATACAAAATAGAGGAGGACTGGCACAGATGTTAGTTCACGGCTCATCTTCCTCAAGTAAAAAAAAGAGGAGGTTTGACAACAGATGTTACTTCAGGGCAAATCTTCCTCACCAAAAAAACCAAAAACAAAAACCAAACAAAAATAAAGTCAATTAAAGCAATACTCGGTCTTACTTAACCCAGACTGGCAAGCCTACACTTTGACCTTGTAATAGTTCCAAGAACTTAGGATAAGGAAAACAAGCAGAACAGGTGTCCAAAGAGGTGGGAACAAGGGTGCCCACGCAGCACAGCCTGTCAGTAGCAAAAATTGTGTAAATATCCTAACTTCCCATCCACAGGGAGCTAGACAGACTTGTTCAATAGTGGGCTAGCCAGGTACCCAGAATGCAGATCTACATTTACTGACATGGAAAAATGGCCTAATATTTAAGTTTTAAAAAGATTAACTGTGTATAATAATTTTTGTAAAAGATTCCTATCTCTGAATTTACTTATACACCCATCCCCAACTACCTATCAAGTCTGAGGACTAAAAGTAGCGATTTTCTGGGGAGCAGGATGATAAGCTAAAGGCAAAAGAGAAAAAAACCTGCCTATCTGTTTTTTCCCATAAATGCCAACCTCTAGTAACTAATGCCTATGAAGCACTTACCATGTGCCAGATGCTGTTCTAAGTAGTTTTTATGTACTCACTTCATTTAATCCTCACAAAACCCCATGGAGGTGATGCTATTACCCTCTCCATTATACAGATAAGAAAACAGAGGGAAGGGAGTAGATGTAACTTTAAAGTCATCGGTAAGTGGCTGAGCCAGTTTAAGAGGGAAAAGAGCCACAGTGAAAGACCCCCATAGCCTCAGGTCCAAATGGAAAACAGAAGTCCAGTCTGGGGGAACCTGGGATGCAGGGGACATGGAGAACCCCTGCTACTAAACCATCTTATGTGCCAGACCTCAGTGTGCCCCTGCTGTCCACACTTCTTGCATGCCTCACCCTCTTAAAGGAGAAGACTCTATCAAGAGGATCAAAAGGTCAAGCAAGATGGCCTGGTGCCAAGACAGAGCACGACACACCATCTCCAAGCCCCTTCCTGCAGCTCTGGTCCCTGCGACCACACTTGGATGCCTCGGCTCCGGCAAAGGGCGTCCAGCTGGGGTGTACAGGTTGGGGTAGAGAAAGGAAGCACTGGGTTTCATCCCCTTTCGTCCATTAGCTTCCACTTTCTCTCCAAGTCACCTCCTTACTCCCAGGCACAGAACAACTCGGTTTCTCTGTTGGTCTTCTGGGTTCAGAATAATCCCCTTAGGAGAAACAGTGTCCACTTCCTTTACTGAGGCATTTTCAGCTTCCATCTCTGGGCCAGCGCTGTCAGGGGGCAGGGACGGGGCTCTTGGAAGCAAAAGAGACAGTGGAAAATGCTTTCATGCCTATGACGGCATTTGCTCCTAATAGTCTCCCTGTTGAGGAGGAAGTGGCTTTCCAGAGCGCTCGAGCAGCAGGGACCAACCAGTTACTACCTGGGCCACTCTTGCCTTTAATCTGCCCCCCGAAAAATGCTATTATCCTTTGAGGTGGCCTTCATCCCCTTCCCAGGGAGGTCAGATGACAGGAATTCAGGCACAATGAGGTCTCCAGCCTCAGAGAGGATGGGGGTGGGTGGGGTGGGGAAACGACACAACTAGACAATAATGACATTAAATAATAATCATGATAATCAGCACTTCTGTAGAACCCCCTTTATGCTAATATTCTAACAACAACCCTATAAAGTAGGTACGATTATTACCACTCCATAAAGAAACCAAGACACAGAAAGCTTCAGTAATTTGCCCAAGGTCACACAGGTGTTGAGAGACAGCGCCAGGATTTGGATCCAGGCAGCTGGACTGGAGCTGGACAGCCACAGGTGGTGGGTAGGGTGGAAGGAAGCTGGAAAAGAAGACCACAGGAGGGCACCAGCCCTGCGCTATGGAGCTCAGGGGCGGGTAGCTATGCACAACTCCCAGCCAGCTGGGGAGGCTGCCCTGAAAAGGGCAGAGACACCTCTCCTTGTTAATCTGACATACTAACTGTCCCTGCCTCCCAACCTCTGCCTTACTATTGTCACAGCCTAGCGTCTCAGAGCAGGTGGGGTAGAACCTCCCCACCCGACCTGGTCTAAACTTTCATTTTACAGACGAGGACATGGAGGACCCGAGGTGAAATCACTTGCGAAAGATCAGGCAGCTAATTGGCGGCAAAGCTGGGATCCGAGGCGAGGAAACCAGCACCAGCAAGGCCCCTGCAGTTAAACCCTCCGCTTGGCTGGGGGCGCTGACTAACTGCCCGCCTTCCACACTCAGCCAGGACAGAGGATGGGGACTGTCTTCCCTGCTGACAACTCTGTATCCATCACAGAACCTGGTTTGCGGTAAATAGCTAAACATTTTCCTCCAGGGGAAGCTCTTTACCACCTTCCTGCTCCTGATCAATTTCCCAGCTGTCTGCAGTGCGCAGCTGGGGAACAGCGCCAAGTCTAACCACGCTCTGCCCTCTGTGCAGGGTGCCGTGGCCCGGGAGCGTTTTCTGAGGAGGGAACGGTTTCCAGGGTAGGAGCCTGGGAATCTGAACTTTCCACCTTGGAACTGGATGAACCCAGATGTCACTAAGCCCTTCAGAAGACCTGAGATGGACATGCACTGGACCCTTGGGCGGAGCACCCGACTCCTCCCACCTCAGCTTCTAGTTCCTGTGAACTCTCCCTTCCTGGCTGCTCATATCCTTTTCCTCCTCAGCCCCTTCCATCACCCCAGCCAGGCAACTTCTGTTCTCTCCCTCTCGACAGCACAGAACGCCCTGGCCTGGCTGCTCTTCCCGAGGCTCAGCTCTTGGTCACTTCGCTGATCAGAGGCCGAGGTGGGCTCGCCACTGCTCCTCGGCCCCGCTGTGGTTGCCTGGCGGCGCCCTGTCCAGACACCTGACAGGGTCCTGTCATTGCCCTTCAGTGGTGTGGGCCGGTATCTGACCACCTGCCTCTCGGGCACCTGGCATGGCACCCGGCGAGCACAGAGCCCTGTGGTGCCCAGAGCCCTCCTGGCCCAGCTCTACCCTCCTCAACTCTCCCCCAGAAGCGCTCGTTCCCTCTTTCCCACCCCAGCACAGGCTCACAATGGAGACTGTCCAGGCTTCATGAAAACAAGAACAGACACTCACTGAGCACTCAGGACGTTCCAGGTACAGTTCTAATACTTCATGTGTCTTCACATTTAATTCTCACAACAACCTGGAGGCAGGTAATAATATTCTCATTTTCCCGATGAGTACAAAAATCGAGGCACAGAAATCTTTAAGAGCTTCCTGAAGTTCAGAAAGGCAGGAGGAGGCAGAGGCAGGTGGCCTGGCTCCGGAGACCACACTCAGGTGGGGATTCAAATTATGGCTCCAGGGCCGGCCCCGTGGCTTAGCGGTTAAGTGCGCGCGCTCCATTGCTGGCGGCCCGGGTTCGGATCCCGGGCGCGCACTGACGCGCCGCTTCTCCAGCCATGCTGAGGCCGCGTCCCACGTACAGTGACCGGAAGGATGTGCAGCTATGGCATACAACTATCTACTGGGGCTTTGGGGGAAAAAAATAAATAAATAAAATTACAAATTATGGTTCTGTTGCCAGAAGCAGAAAGCAGCACGGTGCCTGCCAGCAGGTGTTCAGGGGTAGGGGAACCACGGCTGGGTCTCTCTCAGCATTCTGCTCGTATCCTCAGTGTGGCCTCATGGCTTGTTCTCTCCCTCCCCTCTGTCAAATCCCAAACCCTAAGGGTACTGATGTGGAAGCCAGCAGCTCTGTTGCAGCTCTGGGGACATGAGTGGCCCGGTGGCCAGAGAGGTAGTCTGGCCAGCTTAGAGCCTTCATTCTTCCCCTTCCTGCTTCTCCCCTAGAGGGGAAACTTACCTGAGCATGGAGGGCAGCGGCGGCAGCAGCAGTGGCAGCTGGGTAGGTGAATGCCGCATGTGAGATGGCTGGGGTCAGCTCTGTGGTGTACAGAGGGTACGGGGCCCAGGCCTCTGGGGATGCAGGGATCAGAGCAGCCCCCATCAGGTCATCTACGAAAGGAGACAACAGTCCCCATCATCAGAACACTGGTCTCCCCTTCTGCCACCCTATTCCAGACAAAGAAGGGGACCCAGCACTATGGTTGAAGCATAAGTTCCCCACTCAGGCCAGACTCCCCTCAAGGACCCCAAGACACGGAAAGGAGTCATGTTAACTTGGCCTGGCATGGTGAGCATCCTGTCTGCTTTGAGAAAGTCTCAGATGGGCCTCTGCCCACCTCAACCAAAAGAAATCAGAGAAGGCTTCAGGGAAGTTGGGCAATGCAACAGCTCAGGAGCTCAATGTGTCTGAGATCCAGCAAAGCCTGCAGGGGAGGAAGGAAGCGTGCAACCCGCAGAGATAAATGGCTGTGGATACAGGAAGCCTCCTGGAAGAGGGGACAGGCAGGACTGATGCCCTCACTGAGAATCTCAATGTCTGCCCTCCGCATGCAATGCCACTGGGGGCCCCCAGCTTGGGCCAAGTACAGGGCAGCAGACGGCAGCTATGAGTGCCACTCACAGGGGTCCCGTGCGATGAAGTGTGCTCCTAGGGCGGGGTGAGCGTTGGTGGGATTTGGTGTAGCCATTAGCTTGTTCTTGGCCATCTTGGTGTTGGCTTTGGCAAATTCTAGCCTCAGGGTCTGCGGGTTCTCGGGATCAAAGCGAATACCCTACACCGGAAGGAAAGGAAAGGAAAAACCTTACTCTGTAGGACCCAGACTGTCCACTGCAGTGGGTACCGAAGGGCCCCAGAAATGATCTTGCCTGAAAGACTTGCCCACATGGGGGCTAAGACAGAGGACACGCTGCTCGGGCCACGTGACTAGCGACACTTGGCAGACAGTGCAGCCAAGGACTCTGCCCCAAGACAGCTGGGAAATAAAGTACATTTGTGGGCACTTTCCTTGGGCGTGGAGCGGGGGAAGGTTTGCACAAGACGGAACAGAGATACCCACTGCCTAGAGGTCTGTGGGTCAGAGAAAGTCCTGTTCTCCATCTACTCACGTTCAACGCATTCTTGGCCGCTTCTGCTCCTGCCCGGCTGTCAAAGATCACAAAACCAACAGGCTAGTAGGAAAGAGAGAGAACACCCTTGCATCTCTCCCAGCATTCCATCTCCCCCAACAAAAAACAACTCTTGCCCATCATCCTCCCCATGTTCAGCTGGAACAGGAGAGGTTCTTGTACAACAAAAGTCTCTCACCCAGGTACCATATGTGGGAAATGATGCCAATAGAGCTTTATCCCACTGCATTAAATATCACCCTTTCAGTAAGCCTTTTTTTTAAATGCATGCAGGTAATTACAAGGAAGTTCCAGTGTTCTCCCCAGCAAGAAATGGGACACAATGTATCAAGGGCACGGGGGAGTTTCCAGGTTCAATCAAGGGGCAACAGGCTGAAAACTTCTCCAACTTCATCTTGCCAAGGTTCAGTCCAGACCCCAAAATGCCCCTGAAGGCTCTGGGCCCCAGTGTCCCGGCATCAGGAGCCAGAGCACAGCCACCACCTCTACGGTCCTCAGCCTCAGAGCCAGGCTAGACGGAGGACCAGGAGCTGACGGGTAAGGAGAGAGGACCTATGGAGACTGCTCCTTCATCAGCCCAGGACAGAAACGGATACAGGGAGCAGGTCTTAGCTGCCAAATGCTTCAAGATTGAGGAGAAAGCAACAGGCTCAGTTCCAAGCTCAGCAGCTGGTCTGGGCTGGAGGAAGAAGCACCTTGGAGAGAAATTACCTGTCTGGACGTGAGCTTGATCAGAGACCCTTCATACCCCTGCAGAGAGAGGTGGTCATTAAAGGGAAAGGTCAGAAGCCTTTGCTGTGCTATCCCAGGCACCCCCAACAGCAGCCCCCCTTCCCCAGTGCTCGCCTGAATCATTCTCACACTCCTCTCCCCACTCCTAAGTCGACCCACTCTGACCTCCACCACCGGTGAGCGCCCTCCGCCCCTGCGTTCTGTATCACACGGTCTAGCATACGCGTGGGCATCACACGGTAACCGTCATCATTTCATGCGTAAATTCCCATTTGCTCCACTAGCTTGTAATCCTGAAGCACAGATCTTACCTTTTTAAGTTTTCTCATCTGCAAATTGAAAAGGCTACATTGAATGTTAAAGATTCCTTACTCGGGAAAGTCTACTGAGATTCTCTACTGTCTCCACTTTACAGGTGAGGAAACAGAGGCTCAGAAGGGCTAAGCAATCGACGGAAAGCAGTATGTGAATTAGCAGAACCAGGAGAGAGAGCCAGGTCTGCAATCAGTTTCTGATACACTGTCCCATGTCTTCCCACTGCCCAATCCAGGTCAGAGATTCATTCCTGATGCTTCTCCTCCATTTTAGGCTGAGCCCATGGGTGGCTGGGTCCAGACTCACCTTGAACGGCCTGAAGAGCAGGTAGAGTTCTCTGGGCTTAATGTCCACAGGGAGGCCACTGACGAATAGTGTCCTGACCTGGGGACAGAAACCACAGTGGTCAGGGCCCGGCTGACAGACAGGGATGATGGCTCTCCCTTCCGGAAGGAACTGGAATCCTTCCAGAGTTTAATGAGGAATTTAGTATTTTCTGGGCCTCCTTTGGAGGCCGAGGCACGTGATCACTCAGAGTTTCGTAGCATTTAACTTTTCAAAGCCCTTTCTGTATGCTTTCCTTTCTCTAGGTTCACCCTGCAGGGGTCACAACAAGCACCTGCTGAGCGTCTCTGTGCAGACTGTCTGCAGCCCAACAGCCGAAGAAGAGAGCCCTGTTTACAAAGTGCACAGATCAAGGACTCTTTTTCAGATCAAGGACCCCTCTGAGACCTGAAGAAAGCTATGGTGTCTTACCTCCCAAAAATGCACAAGTAAAAATGTATATTTTTTTCAGAGGATACCCATGGAACTCCGGTTGAGAAGTTCTGTACGGTCTAGGGGAGAGGCAGAGATGTAAATGGAACAGAAGTCCAATGCCACACTATGCCCTGGACCAATTTCAACAGAGGGCCCAGCACTTTCACATCCATCTCCTAGTGCTTCCTACCCTAGATGTGGGCTCTTTAATAGCAGAGAATGTGCTGTATTCATGCCTCTATGCCTGGTTCCTAGCATGGTGCTGATACTAAATGTTTACTGAATAAGGGACCTGGGTAAGGAGTCAGAGACGGAACAATTATGCTGGGTTTCAAAGAATGAGTAGGATCTTGCCAAATTCAAGTGAGCCAGATGATGCTGTAAGTTACAAGACTTGCCCTCAACATGGTTACAAGTTGGTGGTGAAGCCAGGTCTAGACACCAGGTATCCATCCTGTGACTCCAGCCATACCTGACCTCCTAAACTGCGGGTGAGGCCCACGAGAGGGCTGGCTGAAACACTTTCCTAATTCACCACTGCTGGCACCCAATGCTAAACTAGCAAGGCCAGATCAGCCAATAACTATAATGGGGGAGGGAGGATTTTCCATAGTGTAGATCCATTAAAAATACATCTTGAAACTGTGGCTTCCTGAATAATAAAAAATCCGAATGAATTTTTATTATCCCAGCCACCCCTGACAGCAGCCTCCCTGTTTCAAGTTGCATTTCATACCACTAAACCCAAGCATAGGTCTTCTCGACTCATCACTGCCGATTTAAGAAGTTCACGTCTCAGCCCACCCCACCACGTGGCCATTCTTGAAAGCATTTAGATGCCCTAGAGTAGGCCATCTCCAGAGGCACCAAAGAACTTCCTCCATGCTCTAGTGATGACCTGCTGAACCTAGGCAACAGGCTTTTTATGGACAATGGCTTGAATCAGGAACCTGGGGCAGCCAGGCAGTTATACACAACACAGACAGACAGACACACAGACCAATGAACACACAGATCTCAACAACAGAGCCAGAAAAAGCAAAGGACACCAGCCCTGATATAGCTGCTGGTAACCAGTGTCACCACTCCCACCCACACAAGAATGACACCCAGCCCATGGCTGATAAAGACTGGGAAAGGACGAGCTTCTTCCCTCACAAGAGTTTTTGCCAAGAAGCATATCCATCAGAATCCTTTGCCATTTAGGCACATCTTCCCCCTTTGGTCATGCCTGTCCCTTGCCAGACCTGCCTCTACTCCCAGGCCTGGGGTGACAGTTCTGTGCATTTCATAGCCCTTGGCAGCTCTGTCCCTGTATACACAAGCTCTCAAGTGCTGCCCTGTTCCCAGGAGCATCTGAGGGAAACTGGACAGCCCAGGCTCCAGGGTGGGCTAAACCGAGCTCCTGGATCCCAGATGACAACCATCCTCTACACCCCTCTGCCCTTTGAAGGAAGGGCCTTTAATTATGTGTAAACCCCCAAATAGAAAGGACTCGCTCAGGTCATATACCTTGTTCTTTAAAGGCAACAAACCCAGGTCTCCCAACTACTCATCCAGGCGGGCAGAGACGATATGTGCTTTCGGGTGCTAGGACTTGGGTACCCAGCCTACCCCCAGAGAATGGACTGAAAGAGTGCAAGCCGACCAGGGCCCTGCTGGATGGACCTGGATCAGTACTATTTCCTCCTCCCAGGATGCAGTTTGGGTCAAAGATGGAGAACCAGAGCCGCCCCACAGAAACCTCTGCCTCAGTTCTCCCCAGGGGCCACGCATTTCACCCGGGCTAATTTTAAATCCTTCCTCAAACAGCTCTTTTCTGGCCAGACTCCCCAGGGGCCCCCTTAAATAGCAAGTTCTCAGCACAAAGTTTCCTGCTTGGGGTGGGAGAGGGGGATGAGTATAGGGGATCTTTGTCTCATTCCCAGCTCAGATCCTTGTTTCCAGCCTTCCCTCTGGGCAGATGACCCTTTTCCTCTGGTTTCCATCTTTTAGGTTCTAAAATGTCCAAAAGGCTAAGATATAGCTCCCATCCTGTGCCTGGCCACCTCTCAGGAAACAAACTGAGGTTAAGGAAGTTATGGATTAGGTGGTGGGTCCTCGTCTGCCTGGTCAGACCCTTTGCTGGGAGGGAAGCCTGGTAGGCCAAGGCACAGGAAGCCTGACCTGAATACCCTCCTTGGTTCTGACCTGATCCTCGCCACCCCAGTAGATGATGTGCCCTCTGCCTATCCCCTTGTGCAGACTGAGAAACTGAGGCCCAGAAAGGGCTCATGCAGCTTGGTTCACTGAGGAGCAGAGCTGAGTAAGACCCAGATACCCTGACCCAGCGGTCTGTGCCACCACCAATCCATCTGGCTGCAGAGACAAAAGGAGTGGCACTTGGATGGCCTTGTTGCCCCATGGGTGTTAAAGTGTTGCCACATATCCATTCAGTAGCCAGTCCCTTCCCTACGTGTTTAGGATGACAGCAAAGCTGGAGGGACGGGGGTAGAACAAGAAGAAATGGGCGAACCAGAGGTGGAGGGAAGCATGAGCTTGGCAGGCTGGTCAGCTACATGTTGAGAGGACAAGAGGTTCCAGAGCCCACATACCCACCCTCCTGCTTCCGACTCCATCAGGTCCTGCCCCTGCCCCATTGTCTCCAGGTCCCCGACAAGTGCCTGCACGGCCCGTCTCAAGGCAGTGGATCATGCTGCCCCTCAGCCCGCCCCTTCCTCATTTCTTAACCGAAGGGCACTCATCCTTCAGGTCCCTCTACTTCCTCACTCCCCTTTCCTGCCTCTGAGGTCCTACAGGGCCCTTAGGACCCCCTGCCTTATATTGTTGCCACCAGTCTGAGCTCAGCCCCTCACCTGGACTTTATAAAACCCCAGAGACAGGAGCCAAGTCTCAAAACTTTCCTCTCCTCCGAGGTGCCTAGAGTCAGGCCTCAACATTTGAGCACTACCCCTCTCACCATCTCTACACACCTCAGTCCCTCCAAAGAAGCTCACAGCCAGAGAGAAATGTGGCCCAGCACGGCAGAGTGACACCATAAATGGGAAAGAGAACAGACTTTAGTTAGTTAGACTGGACTTCGCATGTCAGCTTTATGCTTGGCTTGGGGAAGCTGCTTCATCGCTCCAAATCTCAGTTTCTTTAACTGTACATGCAGATACCATCTACCTCCAGGATGAAGAGCTCACCTTACTCTACGCCCGGCACATAGGAGAGGCTCAACAAGATGCTCGTTCACTCAGGGCTCCTGTAATCACAGCATTTACCTGCACAGAAACCTCAGCTATCAGGTACCACGAGCCATTTACTTATAAGGTTGCCAAGTGAGGCTGGATCAGGTCCAGGTCAGACTATAGAGCTGGTAACAACACAAGTGAGACAACCTCAGGCGGTCACCAGATTGTTTAGTTTTTCTCTTCCCAGGGAGGTAATACCTGAGGTGCAAGGTACCATGGAGATCAGCTAGTTCAACACCCTCATTTTACAGATGAAGAAACGGAGGCTTAGAATAGGAAGGTGACAAAGTCAGCTGTTGGCATAGTCAGGATCCTTTAGGGACGGCAGGGACAGAGACAAGCAACTACTTCTCTAAGGCCTGGCCAACTAGTCCTGTGTCCCAGTCCAGCATTGGAGACCATTCCTCCCAAGCCACTTGGTGGTGTCAGCCTCACAGCAATAGGGCACAACATTCAGCAAAGAGGCGGGGTCAGACAAGGATTCAGGCACCAACAGCTGGTGGATGCCAAGATGGAAAGATCAATCAAAGAACCCATGTCCTGATTATTCCACACATTTATTATAAGAATTCAACACAAAAATGTTTTCAATATGTGAAGAAAGCAAAAGAGATGGTTAACATGATCCCCAGGCTGCTAGGAGGCACCAAACTCATTTACCTGGGCCCTTCTCCTTCCATATGCTCACCCTTCCTCCAGAAGTATCCAGACCACCCAAGGGATGGTCTCCTTCCTGTTCTGAGACATGGAAAGCAACCACAGCCCTTTAAAAATGGCCATCTTCAGGGCAAGTACAAGCAGATGGTGCTAGACCACGGCCACGTCCTTAGCAGAGGGGGAAGGTAAGTTGGGAATGGGGTGGGGGGGGTACTAGGGAGAAGTGGAGAATGGATGGAGAATCCTTAGAAGTCAGTGAAAAAAGAAACATGTCAAGGAACAGCTCTTTTGGTGGAACCCGCTGGAAGCACCAAATTCAGCACGGACAAGGAACTTGGCCAGAGAGGTGTCCCCATACAGGACATCGCAGACACGACTGTGTGGCTTTCAGGACGGTCAGGAGCAGACCCGGCCTTGCTGGGGGTCTCAGCCAGCGCCACACCTGCCTAGGGAACCAACTGGCCCTTGGCAAAAACATGTTCCCATCCAGCAAGGCTCTGGGGCCTCCTGAGGCCGCTCTTCCCTTAGGCAAGGCCTGCTGCCCATCTTCCCCCGAGTTGCCGAAGCCCCCTTCTGCTAAGTCCACACCACAGGCTTCAGTGGTCGGCAAACTTCCCAGGGTTCTCCAGGTCTTTGTTGTGTGTCCTGGGCTCTTTCCCTCCAGCTAGTACAGGACCTCGAGTGCCTGGAGCTCCCAGCGACCTCTTGACTGCTCCTCACCTCCTGCATGGA